CCGTCTCAAGGATGTGGCAAAGTGCTGCCCCAGTTGTGCCCTGTCTACGTCCCGTCTCTTTTCCATCATTTTTTTATTTTTCTCTTCTAATATGTAACTCTGTTTTTCTTATAAAAAGATAAAGTAAATAATAAACATAGTATTATGGGCCTTTCGAACTTCAACCAATACGCAACAAGGAATATTAGTATCACTATAAGTTATCAATGTAATTTTGATTAAGAATAAATTATTATTATAACATAAATCAGTTGATGGTCTAACTAATCGAACTGCAAACTAAAATCTTTGAGCCGTTTGTCATTCAATCTAATTAAATTAAATGTTTTTCTAAGTTATCCGCATATATCAGTGCAAATCTCCAAGTTGTTCAACTCTTGACAAGCGCTGACATGTGAAAATCGAGAGAGGTCTCGGTCATACTTCATACTCATCAATAGAGAGACCAAATCTTAACACGAGGACAACTATCCCCTTACCGACTTTAATAAAATATTAAAATCACATATTTTTGTGGATCTTCAAAAGAAGTCATGGAACTTAATATCTAACTTTGTCAACACCTCAATAGTATGAAAACTAAAGTTATGATATAATTACGAGTAAATATATGTTTATGCCTTACAACAAAAAATTGTATCAAGGTTATATTTTAATTCAATATATAATTAATAAGACATTGTCATATTATTGCTAATATTTACTTATATTGAATGTCATGATCATCATAAATAAAGTACAACTTTTAAATTTTAAGAAAGGATAAAAAGTAAATAGATACGTCGTTCGTTTGTGATTGGTGCAACAACCACTGACAACATCAAAAGTAGCACTTGTTGCAGCTGCTACAGCTATGCAGCAAGCTAAAGCGAACAAGTCGAGTATCTGATATTTCTTTTTTGTCTCCCACTGCAACGCACCGACATATTTGCTAGTTAACATAAAATGTTGAATTATTTTGTCGCATACGTTGAGTTATGTTTTGTATATAGATCGTTGAAGCAAGTTTAAAACAATGTTAAGGCATTTATAGATGTAAAAAAATATAATCTAGCAACATGATTAGCTAAGGATAAAAAAACAGAACATAAAAAAGAGCTATAATAACCGGGATAGATGGTCAAATCGGATGTGCAATACTCTCTCCATCTTAAAATTTAAGAGACTATATTTTATTATAAACCAAGCTATCGTAAATTTAACTAAATTCATGTAGAAGGGTAATAACATCTACCGTACTAAAGAGGTATATTATGAAAATATATTTCTAAAAATGTATTTAATGATGCTCATTTGATATCTTAAAATTATTGTTATCTAATTTGGTCATACTTCATACATACTGTATGACTTAGATAAAACTTAAATCACTTAATTATATTTTCAAGATGGAGAGAGAGTATATAAGAGCAACTCCAAGAGCTTCTTTATATCATTTTATATTGATAGAAGTAGAGATTTTGGTGTAGAAATCTCTTTCAACAATTTTATTCAGCTAGATCTCCAAATATTCCATTCTCTATTCATGTTTTCTCACTCGTCAAAGATAAAGAGCGATCTCCAGAATGCCGAATAAGATATAGAGAATTTGTTGTAGGATGGAGAGAAAGAAAATGATTTTTATTAGAAGAATGACCCATCAAATCAGGATTTAGAAAGTAGATTTAAGAAAGACGGTTGGAGATGCTCTAACCAAACCATCTTCTAAAATATGGATAGATGTCGTGGTTACCAGGTCATGGTATATAGCGACGGATGACCAACCTAGACAGAAAATAAAAACAGGGATCGATGACCAACCTAGGCAGAAGATAAAAACATGGTAACTGGCATTAGAAGTATAGATTTGTCTCACTCCCGCCCCAAAAGAACAAAATAGCTCTTGTTCATTCAAACGCCCAGCATCCTGAGTTCCTGACCGGCGATCTCCAAGAAGCTTCTCACTTTGCGTGGTGGTGGATGCTCCCCGGCCCCTCCGTGCTTCTGTTGACATCCCATTTATTTGCTTGCAAGGATCACGAAAGCATTCCCATCCGAGCCACACATCCACAACCACAATGATCGGGACCTCCTGACTCAGCAAAAATTGTCAACATCAATAATGAAACGGCGGTGAAGAATATTGTGCGAGCGAGAGTAGGCTAGCACTGTTATTTGACCTAGTTAGTTAGCTGACCCAATAAACATCATTACACGTGTTGTCATCCAGCGGTTCAGGTTGGGCTGGTAGCTAGACATTTTGTCACGTCCCCTCAGAAGTTAAAACTGAAAATGTTCCTCGTCTATTCGTAAAAAAAAAGTATAATTTTGGAGGTGTGTGTAGCAGTGCAGCACAATGGGTGACACCAAAACCTGTCACGCTCGTAGGATAGGTGCGTGAATAGGACACCACGAGCTTTATTAATTTTGGACCACTGCTTCTTCGTTCTACGGCATCCAGATCAGATGAACGGGACTTGGCTCCACCAAAACCGCATAGTACTTATCGTTGATACTTGATGTACCAGCAGATGATAGTGGCCTCCGTTTTTATTTGGATCCTTTTGAAACACAGAAATTTACAGAAATTCATATAGAAATTTAATAAAAAAATCAGTTCAATTTTATAGAAAAATACAATAACAGAGAAAAACCTATATAGACTTTGCGTATTAGTGTTGTCAAATTTGTGTGATATACTCCTGACATATATCTCAAACAAATGGGACGTGCTCTATCCCAAAAGATACGATTCTAGAATTTAAATCAAATCATTTTTTTAGCCTGACCAAATTTATATAAAATTATATTAAACATTTATATCTCTAAATAGGTTTATTGTAGAAATATATTATATGATTGGGTATCATAAATGTTAGTAGTAGTATGTAGATTTAATTAAATTTGATTTCTGAAAAAATGATAATCTATATTTCTTTTCTATGGAGGGAATACTTAAACTATGGCGGGTACACCGTTTTTTTTTTTTATGATGAAAATGACGGCGGGCCGGGCCATACCGTATAGCAGCAAACATCCCATGCCGTCGGCAGCCACCAGTTTTGTGACTTTGTCTGCAACCAATTTGGCAACGACGAGCCGACGACACGAAAGACGACACTACCCCAGTAACCCACACGTGTCTAGGTGGAACCTTGGACGTGCAACGGCTATAGACTGCTCAGCCTGATCTAATCGCTCTAAAACTTCATTATCATTAAAACAACGAAGACCATAAAACAAAAGTAGGGTATGACGATACAAGACATGATAAAATATAATAACAGGTGGGTTTGATTCAATTAGGATGATTTAGTGTAACGAGTTCTAGACATCAAACTAAATTAAACTACTCTAGTCCGGCTAACACTACTTTTTAATTGAAAAATTCCACATATCATCCCAAGCCGAACCGGAACAAAACGTGTCCATTTTTTTTCCTTATGCACTCATCCATAATTAGCAGACATGCATGAATGCACGTATTGACCCTTCCTTGGAACTTCGTTGCAGTGCATGCACGTTGGATCCCAAAACCAAATTGGTTCAGCCTTAATTGATATGACTAGGCCTTTTGACTAGGCCTTTTGAATATCTGGATCATCACGCACTCATTTTGGTCTATGCGTCGTGTCATTGTTGAAGTGCAGAACATTAAGCAAGCATCGATAATCAATAATTCAAGATATATAGAGAAAAAATAAGATAGTTGATGGCACCTCTTGCTAAAAAGGCAAGGCAGGTAAATATCCCGTGCATGTATTTTCTCCTGCTAGACACTGCTACGAAACTTCAACCGGGATAGCATGATCTCCATTTCTATGACCTGTTTGTGATGCGATGGAGGTTCAAATTTTCAAACAGAAAAAAAACAAATCGTGTGTGTACAGTATTTAGCAGCAGGAGCAATATGTATTCATCAACAAATAGTACTAGGGATAGAAGTAGTAATTTGGGTATAGCATTTGTCCAAACATCGTAGGCCCCACAATGCAGCTAGCAGAAGTAGCGCAGCTAATCAGGCTGACTAGCATTGCCCCTCTTTACAATTTTCTCGTTGACTTATTTCAGGATCTCCTGCTCCGCCTTCCATCACGCCTGAATACGATATTTTAATAGTGTATTACTTATATATATATATATATTTTTCTAGTTAATGATATTAATTTAATGTCATAAATTTCATTGTTATTTTTAAATTTAAAAATGTGACTTAAAATGATGAGTACAAGTCTAGCGGAGGGAGCACAATCTTCACCGCAAATGATGAGTTGAATTATAATAGACAACACATGTGTGGCATGCTCTGCTATTTGATTATTGGGACTCCAGCCAATAAAGGAGGTTCAACATGACCTCGGGCCAACAACTTCGCTCTCAAGAAATTTCAACTCATCCATTTTAATATTTTGCTCACACGAAAGAGAGAGAATAGAAAGAGTCATTTTTCGGTTGGGCTAAAAAACAAAGTACGAAGTTATTATTGAGGTCCATTGTGTGGTGTGTGTGGGGAGGGGGAAAAATGATGTGGGGTCTATGATGAAATATTTAGAGTTTAGATTATGATAAAGAAAAGCTATTATTGGGGTCCATTGTGTGTGGGTGAGGGGAAAAATGATGTGGGATCTATGATGAAATATTAGAGTTAGATTATTAAAGAGTTTGTCTTATATTTGGAGTAGTATTTAAGCGATAAAATATGAGCTTTGGTAGCTGAAGCCTCGGAGATGCCCTCGGTTCGGTCTCAGCAGGCCAGGCCCTCGACTCTGACCATGGGCCCACATGACGCGACTTTGGCGATTCGCCACGTGGTCCACCACGCCACAACCACATCTCTCGCTCACTCGCTCGCTGGATAACATAAATTATTCGCCCGCGCAGCACGCACGCATATACACATCCAGTTCCAGCTCACGCCACGCCTCTCTTTCACCCAGTCCCAGTCAGTCACAGCGCACACCTCCCCTCCCAAGCCCAACCTGCTCTGAGGTCGCAGCTCGGCTCAGCACAGCCAGTGCGCCATGGCCGGCCGCGAGGCAGGCGACTGCGGCAGCGAGGGAGACGGAGAGGAGCCGGCCCGTGAGCTCCCCGACGACATCACGGACGAGATCCTGCTCCGCCTGCCGTCGCGCTCCGCGCTGGCGCGCGCCGCGGCGGCGAGCTGCGCCTTCCGCGCGCGCGTCTCCTCCCCGCGCTTCCTCCGCCGCCACCGCTCGCTGCACCGGGACCCCGGCTCGCTCCTCGGGGTCTTCACCTTCCCCCTCGTCCCCGACGGTGCGCGCGGCGGCGGCGGCACGGACTTCCACCCCGCCGAGCCGCCGCACCCGGCGGCGTCCGCCGCCAGCGCCGTCGCCGCCGCGGCCGACTTCTCCTTCGGGTTCCTCCTGGCCGCGGCGGCGGACCCCTCCGCCGCGGCTGGGTCTGAGGCGACCGCGACGGCCGAGTGGATGGTCCGGGACTACCGCGACGGCCGCTTCCTCCTCGACCGCGTGCCGTCGGCCACCGGGAGCACCGTCTTCACCGAGCTCGCCGTCTGCGACCCGCTGTCCCGCCGCTACGTCCTGCTCCCGCCCATCCCGGACGACCTCGCCGACACCGTCCACAGCGTGCTCACCGTCTTCGGCGGCCGCCGCGCGTGCGAGCCCTTCTTCGCGCCCGCCGACGCCGAGACCGCCTGCGGCGCGGACGACGCCGACGCCGACCCGCCTCTCACCGTGTTCTGGACGGCCCGCTCCCCGAGGAAGATGATCGCCTTCGCCTTCTCGTCGCGCGACGGCCAGTGGCGCGCGCTCGAGTCGCCGCACTGCTTCGTCTGGCGCAGGCACCGCTCCCCGTTCAGCTGCCCCATCAGCGCCGTCTGGAACCGCCGCCACTACGCGCACGGCCGCTTCTACTGGGTGGACTGCCTCACCAGCCGCTGGCTCGTGCTCGACGCGCGCACCATGGAGCTCTCCCTCGAGGTCATCCCGTCGCCGGCCGGCTACTGGGAGGAGCACGTCGCCGTCGTGGAGGCCCCGGACGGGAAGCTGGGCGTCTTTGCGCACGGCTTCCACCACCCCGGCGGCAAAGCCAATCTGCACTACTATACGATCGTGCACGACACGGAAGCCGGCGGCAGCGACGCGCGGCGGTGGCAGCTGGAGAAGACGATCCCGCTGCCGTGGCCGTCAGACCACCGCCCTTTCTACCTCCGGGGCACGGGCAACGGGTGCCTCATCATTGAAGTCAGCGAGGAAAAACCAGTATTCATGGCGAGCCACCGCGTCAGGGACGCTGAGCTCTTCAAGATCGACGTCAAGAGTTTCCAGCTCCAGAAGATCTGCCGGGCACGGTGCGCCGGCAGTGCTGCTGGCGAGTGCTCCTGGCCATACTTCGGCTTCCCGCCATCGCTGTCGTTGCCCACTGTGTGAGCACGGAGCAGCATGATGTAAATGAAACAAAAATATCTTCAACTTTAGAGCGAGCCTTCAGTTTGTATGGTCTACATGTATAAGCAACACTTGTACTCGTCCAGTTTGTTTACAAATGCAACGCATACATACAGATACAGTTTACTAGTACAAAGCAAACAACCACCTCAACATTTTTCAACTGTATAAACCCCACAAAGCAGGAGTAGACCAATTGCCCAAAGGCATAGATTATAGTCAAAGCCACGTCACTTGATCTTGATGTTTATTGATTTCAATGGCACCATAGCAATGAGCAAGTACAGCATTGCCGGTTGGTTTCAATGGTACCATAGCAATGAGCAAGTACAACATTGCACCTTCTACACAAAAGATGGCAGCTTGTATGAGGCAAAAGGAACCAACTGCTGTACAGCCTAGATAATCCATAGATCATGCCAGGTGCTCCTAGCTTGCTCTATGTTTTGATATCTTCCACTGCATGTTTGTCGTTCTCTTTGTTCTCTTAAAGGATTGCTCAAGGTCAGCTGAGGACCATCCAGTGAGACCAGAAGATCGCCCACGGCTTGCAGAGGATGATCCTGTGCCACGGAAAGATGGCCCAGGGTCCGCCGAGGATGGTTCAGCCAGACAAGAACGGATACCATACGATGCTGCAGTCGAGCTCACCATACCTGTCACAGCAGGTGCAAAGCTCTCCACAAACATGCCACAAGATATCAAAGTCTCACCAGGAGGCATGTTGATGTATGAAACTGTACCATCCTGAAGATCTACACAGAGGAGTCTCTTCTGGTTGCCAAAGAAGATCTTAGTCTTGAGCTGGAAAAATGGGCTTATGCCCACAGGCATCCGAGGAACGATAGTCTGCAAGTGGATCCAGTCTTGACTAGTCAAGTTTGCCACCCAAATATCTGACACTATATTGTTAGATCCATCAGAATGTGTTGACAACAAACAAAGCTTTCCTTCCCCTTCAAATAGTTCCAAATTATGGTTTTTTACAGCATCTGGGATGGCTATTTTTGAGAAACTCTCATCTGTCAGGTTGAGTGTCAGGATTTCTCGACACAAATGGGAGGAAGCCTCGTTAAGAAGTAGCCAATACATGCCATCATTAACAATGACTGCCTTTGTTGCCTTTAGGAGCTCTGCAGATTCATGTATTGTCCTCCATGACAGTGCACCAATAGTGCATATTTCAAATGTCAAGAACCGCACACGGTGACGGATAGAGACCACCTTGTACTCTTTTGTGGAGGGCACAAATCCAACAAAATATTCAGAGTAAAGAGACTGTAACTTGAGTACTGAATCTGGGAGCCTAAAATGCTTCCTTGTTGTGGGATTCAAGACCTCAGCATCGCCTTTTATATCATAGGCACACACCAAGCCATTGCAGGGGCCTGACATGTTAAACCTACTTGAGAATACAAGCTCCACGCTTCTGAAATTCATTGTGGCAGGATCAAATGTGTACATGTGGACTAGGCCATGATCAAGCGAGGTGAAACAAGCAATGGACTGGTGGAAGCGGCAAGAATTATTCAGGTGACGGTCCACAAAACTAGGTTCTTCAACACAGTCTTGCCAGAACTTGCACACACTGCGGGACTTGACAACATCCCTGCCAGGAAGAAAAGCAAGGATAATCCCTTGGGCGTCTTGAGGAATGAATATTTGAGTTTCCGTTGCTTCATTCTGCTTATCAAGATCATCATTGTTACAGTCCATGCCAAGGATGCAATCTACAATTCTGTCCAAGGTAAAGGTTTGGTCAGTAATCACTATGCAACAAAAAAAAAGCAAGACAGGGCTTGCTGATACAAAATTGTACTGAGATAAAAATATGCCCTTTAGTGTCCAACATAAAAGTTTCCACTAGAGCAATTAACATCATAAGGGTTTGATACTGCTATGTGAATCCATTCGTAAATGGCTGAAAGTAAACGTAGAACACAGATACAGAATCAAATGCGCACCAGCATGTTCTAACTAACATCAAAACCATTATGGATGCACCACTTTGATGAAGTAATAAAGAGTTCTAAACTTCTTCCAGAAATGAATATTGAAGAGCATCTCCAGCAGCTCACCAATAATTCATCCCAATAGGATGGTCTTGATGGTCACCGATACTGCTTTTTTGGAATATTGGGGGAGATGCTCCAGCAGATCACCAATATTCTTCCCCAATACATAGGACCCACATGTCAGATTACAATTTTTTATTAACTTTCCTCTTTCTCTCCAGCAGGGTGTTTCTTCCCCGCCGCTCCCCACCCCGCTAGCACTTTCCCCGCCCCTCACGCTGCTCTCGGCCACCGCCCTCCTCCTCCGCTTCGCCGCCACGGCCCAGGGATCCCCGCTTTCCTCCACCTGGCCCTCCTCGCAGTCTCTATCCTCCTCTGGCTTGTGGCCCTCCGCATCCTCCCCTCCCTGGGCCTCCTCGTCCTCACGGACTCCGCTGGCTCCCTGCTCGCCCGCGCCCTGCACAGGCGAGGTGTCGAGGTGGAGGCGTCCTCATTACCAGCAGCAGCGCGGGAAAGGAGCAAGTGTTCAGATCCACGAGCCAGCCACATGCACACAATACCGGCGCACACACTTGTCCAAAACCCTACGGCGGCGGTGGTTGCTGAGTAGCTTGGAGGACGGCGACCATGGCGGTCTGGTGTGGGCAGTGTGCAGGGAACAAGAAAAGTGACAGTTATCATGGGGTCCACAGTATTGGGGGGATGCAACTCCCCCTCTATTTGAGGTGAGCTGTTGGAGCGATGAAATCAACTCATCTCCCCCAATATGACAGGTTTGTGGGGATGAGGGATTGTATTGGGGAGCTGCTGGAGATGCTCTGTACTACAGATGCAAGGCTCTATGAATCACAATAAGATGAGACCCCCAGCCCCCCTACAAAAAAAGGATCATTCATAGAGGAAAACAGTACTGGGCTATCGTGATAGAGATTAAATGATTATGTATCAAAATCAACTAACCTTATTGGTGGAAATAGTAAAAGGTGCACAAGCATATCAAATTCACAAGTTCTAAAAAAAAAGGAACATATACGACACTCAAAGCATGGTATGCAACCAACATGCTTTGCCCTCCCTCCCTACCATTTACAATGCACTATTGACCACTCCCATGTTAGATATTAAACCCATCCAACCTTATCTTCAATTTCAGATCACTGGACTACATCAAGGACAAATCAGCATTTTTTTTACACTAAACACTTGTTATTTTAGCTTCCATCAGGTATGCTAGTGTCCATCTCTCAGTGCAGCTTTATTTCACTGTCCATTTCTACTCCAACTTCAAGTTAGTGATGCGATCCCTATATCTGCATAGAAGCAGGAAAGTCCTATGCAAGTTTTCTCCCAACAAAAAAGACTGCAGGGATAACCTTTGCTTCACAAGCTGGTAATAGAGGTTCAAGACTAAGATCAGTTCCATCATCAGGATAACATCTATGCATTTCCAATTCCATCGAGAGATAATTCCTATTCTCCATGATATATGCAGTCACCGAATCTAAACTGTTTGCCAACAGATGTAGATTCAACCAGTGGTCTGGCTAAAATGGTGCCAATCATATAACAAACAGCACATACAACAAATGGCACAGAGATCTGCCACTTTGTGCTGACAACCGAACTCCATTTCGCATGATATTTCAACATGATCTCGGAGCATCTCCACGGTGAAAAGCAGGGGCGGACCCAGTAAAGGACATGGGTGTACATATATTTTGCAAAGCAATCGAAGTTAGTAGCCGTAATACATGCATATACACTTGTAACTAGATCAGATCCGAATACAAATACTAAGTTAGGGTTTGGGTGGTGAACCGTTTTCGCGCGACAGGAAGGGAAGAGCGAGGGGAGGGCGTACCAGGTGGTGCTCTTCGCCGGCGAAGGGGCCGGAGAAGACCTGGGCACCTGGCCTAGGCGGCAGCGACGGCCGCCAAGGCGTCGCCACGGCCCACGAGAGAGAGAGAGAGAGAGCGAGCGAGAGGGAGAACGCTGGGGCGGTGATGGACGAAGGAAAAAAAAAAAGGGTTGCCGCATACAGGCAGAGGCAGCTCGGTCCATGTAGATGAAAATTTGCATCATTTGAAAATGGATGAAAATGAGTTATTTATGCATTTTATGAGTATTTAAATTTAGAAAAATAAAAACCTTTGTTAAAATTAAAAATCAAATATAAGGTCTAGCTTCATGTTTGTGCATACATGCTGCTGCATTTTTTTTATGCTTGGTTTGATCAAAATTGCAAAGGAATTTGAATTTGAATTGAATTGAATTTGAAAATGTGTTTAAGAAAATAAAAAGAAAATTATTTCTCTTTTTCTCCCTCTCCCTGGCATATGGCCCAGCTCGGCCTTTTCTTCTCCTTGCAGGCCCAGCTTCGCTTTCCTCTCCCACAGGCCAGCAGGCCCGCTCCCGCTTTCCCCGCTTCCTCGCAGCGGCTCAGCTCCTTCCTCGCGCTTCTGTCTTGGGCCGGCCTAGCAAGCAGCCGCGTCGCCCGCGCCGCTCCTTTCTTCCGCATGTCTCGTTGACGGGTAGGCCCGCTCTGTCAGACGCGTCGTCTTCCTCACGTGTCCGCACCGAACTCCGCCGAGACCCCGCGCCCTGACTCCGCCCGTGTGCGTGCGCCCCCACGTCTCCTTGGCCTTAAATACCGACTCCACGCACCGCGCCGCCTCTCTATCAAGTCTCGCCAAAGCCGCTACCTCGCCGAGTCACCACGCTGCCGTCCGCCGTCCACCATCCCGAGCCGCGCGCCGCCTCCGTCCACTCCACGCCGTAGTTTTTCGTCGTGGTGAGTTCGCCATCGCTTTCTCTGTCTTCCGGTGCCCTCGCTTCGTGCTGTCGTGACCCGTAGGCCGGTATCCAATTATGCCGGCGAGCTTCCCGTCTTCGGCCATGGCGCCACCGCCAGCCCGTCGTCGGTCTGCTCTCTCTGGTCTATTCTCAGTCATCCATCATCAATCCAACGACCGATATTCACCGGTAATGTTTCGGCCGATAGTTTTGCAAAAGAACCCCCCACGTTTGTAGATTCAAACCCGCGGTCCAAAGCGTATTCCTAGAATACGTTTTCTCTTCCAAAAAGGGTAGTTTCTCTTGTTAGGCTGCAGAATATGTTTTCTCTTTCAGAAAGCGTAGATTCTCTCTGTTATATTCAAAATACGTTTTCTTCTTTTGAAAATTTAGTTTCTTCGGTTAGATCCAAAATATGCTTTCATCTATGTACAGTTTTGTCACTAGTTTTATTTAGACCATAAAATCTTCGTTTTAACTCCGATTTGATTAGTTCAAGTTGCGTTAGATTCGTAATTTGCGTAATCTACGTGTTAAAACTACCGTTAAGTATGTTTTCAACTTTTGAAATTCAATGTTAGATTTAACTTATTATTTTATTAAAGAAAATCTTGTTTAATTTAATTCATAAATTGTTTATTTTAGCTCTGATTTTCATGATCTCCGCGTCTGTGTGTTTCTAGTGAGACGTAGATTCGTTTTATAAACTTTTTATCTTGATTTTATCTGTTGTTGGTGTACTGTTTTAATCTATAGTCTTTGTTTGCTATGCATGACTGCTCTGGATGCTGGTATGTTGCTGTGATTATCGAGTATAGACGGTGAGCAATTCGTTGGTGATCAAGAGTACTACTTTAACGAGCAGGATCAGGAGGAACACTTTGATCAAGGCAAGTATAGCATGAGATCATCCTTATTACCTATTCACTTTAATAATCAATCCATGTTTGCATGTGTCACCATGATAAAGATTTCCTAGAATTGTACTTATGTCTTGACTCATATGGGATATGCATTGGGTAGCTTTGCTAGTGCTCAACTAAACCATGATCTTATAATTTGATTAATGGTATATGCAATAAACAGTAAAACATGACTTTTAGTAACTTGGAAAAAGGGGGCTGGAATGTTTAACTACTTTTCTAAATGCTTAAGATTCCTCTCCCTAAGGACTTATCTGTAAGTGATCATCCGGGACTTATAGTACAACTATGAGGGCCACATGGCTCTGGCTTTAGTCAAGTATGAGGATCTTTTCTAACTTGTTAGTGGTTACCTTTATGGCGCAAGAGGGGCTTGCCGAGATGGGTATATGACAGCCTCTACTCTTATGTGTATAGCCATGAAGGAATTGTGCAATTCGATAGGGGGTTTCTATATCTGCTTGCCAATTGGAAATCTAGCGGCCCTAACTTGTTAGATGAACCTTTGAAATGCTTCATAGTGTACTCTGCCTGCTCACCTTAAAAATGTTTTGGGAGTTATAAACCAGGGCATATGGGTATCATGACTCACAGTGAAAGTGTACAACCTCTGCAGAGTGTAAAACTGTTATAACAACCGTGCTCATGATCACGAGCGGCCTAGGAACCCTTATAGAATAGATGATCACTATTAAGTAATTGTTTTTGCTATATATTACTCATGTTTATATTGATCATGTGTTTTACTTTAGGATTAAAACAACTTGTTGTTACTCTTATGCTAAAACTATGACAACTAAAAGCTAAATGTTGTTAAACCTATGTCAAGCCTTTTGAGCCTCATGAACCCCATGTTACACTTGTTGAGTACGACATATACTTATGCTTGTTTATTTTCATTATTTGGATAAAAATCCCGGATCGATAACAGATTGCAATAGTAATGACGACTTTTCCTAAGGATTATTAGACTTGTCGTCAACCAGTTGACGTCCCTGTGCTATGGAGCTTCTGCGAGAGAGTTATCTTTATACTTATGTTGTATTTATGTGAAGACTATGTCATATTATTCGTGATGTAATAAACACTTGTGATGATACTATCTATAATTTATTGGCTTATGTGTGTGACTAATTTCTAGACGCGCATAAGATTATGCATCCCATTTTATCCTTAAAATCGGGTGTGACAACCTGACACGTAGAAAGATTGTACCATTACAGCTTCCAGGTGCTAGATATATTCCCTAAAAATACTCCAGGTGCTAGATTTGGAATTGGACGGTGAAGTAAATCAAAGACTTACGTTTCACAGTTTTATTCAGTTTCACGTGCCTACGGGGCCTGTTTGGCCTACGCCTAAGCGCGCCGAGCCACAGCAGGGGCGGCGCCAAGGCTGCGGTGGCAATTTTCCTCGCCACACTTTTTGCAGGGTGTGGTGTTGAAAATGTACTACGGCCCTGTGCTCATGTCGTGGCATGCCGCAAGTCCGGCACCCAACCAAACGGTCGCCGAAACTGTGGCGTGCAATGTGCGGCAAAATGTGACCGCGAACCAAACGTGGCCTACATATTTAAATGTTGGTATTATAAAATGAAACATTTTCGTTGAAGTTTCACTCAATTTTCTAACTTGTGAGGAAGAAAAACGTTCTCAATGGAGTTTTAATCAATTTTCAATGCGCTGAGTGCACGCTGCTCATCTCATCTCTCTTTTTCATAATTTATGTGCCATGCCATCATTTTTGCTAGTATGTCACCTCATTAAATATAAACAAAACTAGCATAATATCATTTTATAACCGATTGTCCTATCTGTTTTATGGGCTATCCTATCTATTCTCTACAACAACAATAATAACTAGACTAGGTGAATTCCCCGCGCCAAGTAATGATATTTCATATGAAATACAAAATGACTGACACTACGAGTTTACGTAGTTCAATATATTAATTGAAAATCTGGAATGACCAACTTCATATAAAATTCTACAAACAGTAGTATTTAAAACACATAAGTAAACCCAGCTTAGCAGGGTTCAGGGTTGCAAAGCCGGCCTAGTCGGTTTTGACAGCGTGACAAACTACAGAGCCAAACCCAGCTTAGCCGGGTGCCTATACCAACTTAACTATTTATGTTCGAGCTTATAGGTTGGCGATGTTTTCCCCATTATGTCCTGTGTTCTCCTAAAGACCCGCCGTTTGGCTATTTATTTAGGTAAACTATCAATTAAACGAGATGAATGACGGACTAAATGGAAACAACATATCATAGTGTACCATTTATATGGTGTTTAAATGATATGATTAGACGAACAATAGTTTAATTTCACGAGCATATTTACTACTCCTTTTAAAGAGTTACATTCCTAGAGGTCATAACTACAAGTAGAAAGATTTTTTTAAAATAAAATAACATGAAAAATATTCATGGAAGTCATAACTACAGGGGAAAAATTGGTAACTAAAATCAAATAAGACTATTACTGGACCATATGGAAAAAAACTTAAAAAAAAGTCATGACTATAAGGAGAAAAAAAATTGACGAGAGTGGGATTTGAACCCACGCCCTTTCGGACCAGAACCTTAATCTGGCGCCTTAGACCAACTCGGCCATCTCGTCGAGATGGTAAGGCTGTTCACATGTCCTCCTTTATTAAATAAATCGTTATCCCTTTTCATCGGCTGGGCCGACACCCATTAATCCATTATCCAGTTGCTCGACCTCGAAGCTGCAACGATGGAGTCTGCGTCGCTCACGTCACTCGCCAATCTATTCCCGTGCGCTTCCTCGTCTCCAATGTAATGCCGAACGCCATCTCCTCCTACAGTCAAGACGAGAAAAAAAATTGTGTCCAGTTTTTATAATTTCAGTGCTCTGTTGGCCCCGTCCGGGAGTTCTTTGAATCAGATGCAGGTGTCCGTCGCCATCGGAACCGAAGAAGATCCCGCCGGCACGCCGCAGTAAGGCTTCGTCCCTGAAGGCAACCTGTGCGCTCTCTAGGCGGAGGGCAGTTTCAGAGCTGGCGGTTCTTGGTGCTGTGGCCCTCTCCATGCCGGCGCAAGCAGCGATGTCGGAGCCTTATATTATCAGGTAACGCGGAACGAGTCGTCGCAGCTATACAGATCTTTCCAGTGGTCACGCAATCTGATCTCTTGATTCCGTTTTGAAGTTTTCAGGTACCGGAAGCTGGACAGCGGAGTCATACTCGAAGGTACTGTACTGGTAGCAGTGAGTTGCTGTCAGTCGCACAGTGTTTCAGTTATGTTTCTGATTGCTCATGGACGAACTGCGCTTCTTGATCTGAAGATGTCGTCGATGGGGAGGGGCCTGAGGCACGGGATGGCGATCTGGTGCAGTTCAACTACGTCTGCCGCCGCGCAAACGGTTATTTCGTGCATAGGTGTGTGGAATTCTAATGCCAGAGTTGTTCAGTACATACACTGAAAACGTGTAGCAGTTTCAGTTAGATCGAGTCCAGTTATCTGGTGGCCTCACCGCGTGTTCCCTGTCTGCTGCAACTCAGCACGGTGGACCAGTTCAGCGGTGAGAGCAAGCCGGTGACACTTGCACTTGGCGGAGAAGAGGTTACAAGCTTCACTCCTGAAAATTTCCCCCACATTCTTCAGGAGTGTAGATACCCTCTAGGTGCACTCAGCTGCAGTTTCTAGTTCTGTGAGTTCGTTTGTTGTGATGTCTAGCTTATGTGCTGTTCAGATGATTCGAGGCTTGAAAGACGTCCTAATTGGGATGAAGGCCGGAGGTAATTTGGATACCAGCTTAGTTCCAGTTGCAGGCAGCATACTAAATTAATTGTTCAGTTTTTTTCCTTATAATGATGTGAATCTTGATGGTTGACACTATGGTTTTAGGACTGCCATTTTATTCTAACCTTTTTCATGACTTGGTGTGCACTGTGCAGGCAAGAGGAGGGCTCTGATTCCTCCTGAAGTAGGCTACATCAGTGAGACATTGAAGCCCATACCAGAAGAGGTGCACGATCTCGATGCTGTACTCTTTTATCTAGATTTGATTTGAAGGAACATTAGTACATTACCTGTAAAATGTAGATTTTGCACAATTCTGATGGTTTTTACAGCTGACTTACGATTGCTCTTCGGCTTGTTTTTGGTTCAACTTGTAGTTTGGACCGCGGCGAAGTCTGCTGTCTCATGCCAAGGAGCCACTGGTGTTTGAGGTTCAGCTGCTGAAGGTCCTGTGATTCTGCATTTTGCCATCATCATCATCGTCGTCATCTTCCTTGGTCAATGCTAACGGTGCTCCAAGGGAATCACCGAGTTCATTGTAAACATAAATGTTCTCCCTTTAAATTCGAAATCAGTAAATTCAATCAGTGAAATAGTCAAGCAGCAGCCATCCTGCTTTTGTCAAAATATCGTTAACTTCAGACTCAGAACGGTTCTTCTCTGAAATGGAGAAGCGGGTCAAAGTTTCTGAATGGTTCTGCACTGATACGGATACGCGAATCAGAATTTTCAGAATTTCTTCATGACCATTTGCAAATATGCCATTCACGAACTGCACGTCACTGTTCATGCTTGCAGTTTTTTTCCCCTTGTGCAACTCAAAAGAGCGCTTCGAACTCGTAAACCCAAAAGTTTGAAGGAAAAAAGGTGATTTTGAATTGCATTGCTATTTGTATGCAAGATTTTTACTGTTTGCTATCTGTATCGATCGTGCAATAAGCGGTGTAGTACAGGCAGTAGGAGGGGAAGACCGACTTGCAGAGCAGCACTGGCAATTCCAGTCGGCCGCCGCCGCCGTCAGCGTCAGCGGGAGCTGTCAAAGTGGCGGCTTGGAGGCCGACGAGCCCTCTCACTGGCGAGCCAGAGACAGCGACGCCGCGCACCGTCACGTGCGGAGGGAGGAGGCTGCCGGCCGTGGCGGCTACATACGGAGTAGTCGCCATTGGCGAACCACGAGGACTCGGCGTGGCTGGCGGCCAGCACCCGGCGCCACAGCCTGTGGTCCGGGCGGGACCTCAGCAGCGCGCCCACGGCCTTGTCGCCGATGAAGGAGCAGCGCAGGCGCAGCCTCCTGGCGATGGCCTGTCCCTCCGCCGCCAGCCGTGGGTCCGCCTCGGCGTCGTCCGCGCCGCCGAACGCGTGCGCCTTGAAGAAGAACCAGTACTCCTCCGGTGGCAGCGGCCGCAGGATGATTGGCTCCGTCGTGCCGAGGTCCACGACGTGCTTGTCGCTGCCAGTCACGATGATCCTGCTCCCTGTCCGGCCGCGCCGCAGGGCCGGCATGATGGCGTCTATGACTCGCTTCTTGCGCGGGTCGACGTTGTCGAACACGGCCAAGAACCTCTCGCCGTTCAGCTTCCGCTCGAGGTGCTTGCTGCTCGCCGGAGCCGCCGAGCCGGTGTGCCTGCCGTGCTGGCTGAAGAAAGATTCACCGTGCCATATCGGGTGGCACGGCCTCATGCAGTGGAAGTCCAGCAGCCTGGTGAGCGACATGGCGGCGCACCGCACAGAAGTCACAGACGTGCTGCACGCGCTGTCGTCTTCCCCAGGCCGGCGCGCGGCCCTGGAAGAACGCCTCTAGCCGCCGCCAAGGCCAATCTCTGGAGTCCTATTTTGGCCATTAAAATTAAAATTAACGTAGATATCTTTAACCATCAAAATATTGAAGCCAGATAATTTTAGTCCTTTAGCTAGTTTCCAAAGGTGATTTTTCCTCCATACATATTTTTCTTGTATCTTGTACTAAGATAAATCTGGTCTAATCTCTAAGCATTCATAACGAATTCATTTAAATTAAAAAAAAGAAATTGATACCAAAACAGCGTTTTCCGCGATGCGCAATCTATCTATTGTTGTAACACCTTGGCGAAAACAAAGACCTTGCTTAGCGCCCCGGCATTAAGGTCCTCGAGGATTAGCCAACCAAGTTTTCCCGGACGCAAAGGAATAGCGCCCTCGGTGCGCGGCGCCAACGAGATAAGCCACTCCAGAAGCGCTATGTGACTCACTTTTCGGACTCAAATAAATGCCCAAGTTAACTTACGAGCTGCCGTAGCCGCCGGAGCTGCTAATGAAAATCCTAACAAGAAAAATGGGATAAGCCGCGGTCAATTGTTTGTCTTGCTCTGGTACTCGTTTATATAAACAAAAATAAAATATAACTTGTATAGTACTTAAGTAAAGATGATGAGCAAGTGGTATAGTTGAAAATGCAACTTTAATTTCCGCCTACAAATGTTTTTTAACTAGTGTTCTTGAGATCATCAAAATACCAATCAAACTAAAAAGAACCTTTTCTTGAATACGCTAAGTTATTTCAACTTATGTTTAAAATGCTATTTTGACTTATATATTGAGCAAAATAACCCGAAATTCCTGCTTTTCAAGTATTTTGTTCCTATGGTTTAGTATAAAGTATCGGCTATGGCATAGCCATTTCTTGGTTGAAGTTACTAAGTATAAACCTCTTAAAATCACTTGTGATGACGAATGTTCACGGATGTTAAGTCAGGAACCTTGAACCCTGTATCTTTTTTTAAGTCGAAAAACAATGTTGGACAATGTTATTTTGGCATTTGAATTCTAATTACGAATTTCTTAAACACTAGTTTCATGTTTTGGTACGTTTGGTTGCCTCTAAGCGAGAACTTGGACATGCGGTTGTAGTGGTGGACATGCGGTTGTAGTGGTGTTGGGCGAACGCCCTTGTTCTCTCTAAAATTCTCAAACTTCCTTAGAACGCATCTACCATGTTGTTGATCGTTAAATAGATCTTGAAATCCGACGACCTAAGTTGACATCCTTTATCTCCCTCTCGGGTTGCTCACTCATGACATTGCTCACTTCAAATTTGACAATGCAATGACTTTAGGTTAGTAGGAATGGTTGAACTTCTAATAAAATGATCGGCACCCTTTGCTTTTGTCGTAAAACGCGCGTGCGTCACCATTTGACTCTTCATTACCGGTGCTTGACAAAAACTGCAACTTTTCAACTATTTTGGCCCTCAATTCAATTTCATCTAGAAAGAAGTCAATTTAAATCTTGCCAATGTCAAATTTGAAATGCTGAATTTTGGCTTTAAGTTTTGAGATGCCAGAGGAAATTTGTCAATGCCAATGGAAGCCACATAAAAATACAAGCTAAATTGGGTTTGGCTGCATGGTTGAAGTGGGTGTCCACTTGCTATTAGTTTCTTTTTGGCAAAAGTGAGCACTTTATTAACTCAGTGGCAAGCTTCATTGCATTGTTTCAAGAATGCTATGTAGATAAAATTCAATTTAAATGCATGTGCTTCGCTCTTTGTTTCCCATTTCATTTAATATCCCTCATAACCCGTTTAGAGTTGGAAACCAAGATCATGTCCCCAATCTATATGAAACTCATCATTCTTTTCAGCATTAAGTCGAAATGTCATCATGTTATAAAAATGCTTATGCTATGTGACAACCTATAAATCCCTAGATGAACTCAAATGATAATTCAACTCGTGGCGTGAGTAGTATATTGGAATTAATTAGGCACCCCATCCTCGTCAAGCCCGGCCAAACCAAACTGCTGAAAGAATAAAGCTAATTCATTTTCTTCTTGATTACGCCTTCTTTTAGCTTGGACGAAACACTGGGCCCTTTTGGGGTGACTAGAGGGGACTTGGGCCGGTAGCGGTTCAATTGCTCGGTCTCGTATCTTTTGACATGCCTTAACTCTCTCTAAATATTTTGCTTGCACTATTTTGGCTAGGCCGAACTCGGATCTCGGCATGGCGGGCTACATGATCGACCCACATCTTGGGCGAGCTTGAGCTCGCCACGCATGAAAATGTGCACGAACACTTCTACAACTATACAATATAATTCTCCGCATTTCTCCTTCTCAACTTATCTAATTCTTGAATAGATTATGAAAATAAGCCCTTTAATTACTCCCTCACATATCTCATATCACGTCTCGTTAGCTCTTTTGACTCGTCCGTGAATAGTCACACCGCCACCACGGATAGCCGCTCGCCACCACGGACCGTGCTTGCGCTAAGTGTCTCTAAGCCCTAACGCCACCCATCCTCGCGTGTTTAGCCGTAGATGGTGGTTGGCCTCTTACTTTAAATGCGTGGCGATGTCTTGATTGCCCGGCGTAACCACCCCAAGTCCCACCTCTAGCAATGACAAGGCCAATCTCTGCGTCCGATGCGGCGTGGGGATCCTAGGATCTTCCGTGGTAAAGGTGAAAACATCCGAGGGTTTAACCATCAAAATCGTGATGGTAGCGAATATTTTTAGTCCTTTAATCTCTAAAAGCTCAAAGGGCTTTTTTCCTCCAAAGTCGCCGCTTGTATCTTGTACTAAGATAAATCTTGTCTAATCTCTGTTGGGCCATCGCGACCATTTAAATTAAAAAAGAAATTGATACCAAAAGTTTTCTAAAAATTCTATCTATTGATGTAAATTGATTGTCGAGCTTGCCCTTTTCCTTTTGAGCTAAGCATTTTAAATTAGTTTCTAAGGCAAACTTGTAAATTCAAAAATAAATTTGTGTAGTTGACTCAAAAAATATGAAACCAATTTTGTTCAGTTCCTAAAATCATGATCTCCCAATTTAAAAATAGTATTTTGTTCTCATAGTTTCATGGAAATTTCAAAAGTAATCTAATTAATTGTGTGTAGCACTTAATATTGTTAAAACATCAACTTGTAGGAATTATTATGAGGAATTGGTAGTAGTGTTGGCTCTGGAATTTTTATAGAAAATTCCTAACATTTTTAGATGTTCACTGTAATTTTTATAGTTCCATAATAATTAATTTGTTAGGGTAGCTAAATAAGCCCTAGTTCGAATATATATATTTAATCAATAAAATGCCAAAACACCTTAGGATTGTAGAACTAAAACATTTTCTGGAAATGAAGCCTTACTTGATGACGTGGATACGTAGCCTAGTGCGTTAGTCATTAGAGCTAGCTCGTTAGCTTGTTCAAGCGTAATCGTTGTTCTTAGAGTTAAAAGAGTGTTGCCATTGGTTAATTTGGCATTTTGAATTCTAACGTTCTTTCTTAAGCTCTAGTTTCATGTTTTGGTGAATTGATGATACCCTAAGTGCTAACCTAGTTTATCAAAGTGATCATGAGATAGGTAGCGCATTTCAAGTGGTTAAAATTTCTGAAACTTCCTTAGAAACGCTGACATGATGATGGTGATGCCATGGTAATGATCAAGTGTTTGGACTTGAAAAGAAGAAAGAAAACTTTAGGCTCAAGGCAAAGGTATAAACTGGTAAGAGCTATTTTTTGCTTAAAAACGTGATTGAGACCATTTGCGAGTGTGATCACATTTAGGATCGATAGCCATACTATTAAGAGGGTGAAACTTCGGCTATCGGCCATTGCCCGTTATCAAAGTGTCACTAGATGCTCTAACTCATTGCATATGCATTTAGGATCTAGTGGAGTGCTAACACCCTTAAAAATATTTGTGAAAATACGCTAACACACATGCACAAAGGTGATAAACATTGTGTTTAGCACTTGGGAGCAAGAGTAAGAAACTTTACCGTGCGGAGTATCTCGCCGCTCAATTCACTACTGGATGATCGAACAACGGTGCCACCGCGATGCTATCTCGCCACCCTATATGAAAAAGACCGAGTTGCCTTCACAGAGTGGACGGACTTTGCCTCTCAATCTGGACCCCGTTCCCCTCACTAACCGAAAGCGCCTCTCAGACGCCTCCACGGTCGTTGGTCTTTGACCGGATCTTTGAGTGGGTGCGTCGGTCCGCCGACATGGCGAGGCCACGGAAGAAGAAATTCGTGAAACCATCCACTTCTAAATCCCCAACTCGGGCTCGGTCGATTCGTGGTGACGAGTAGTATCCCGATCGCGAGTGGAACCTTCCTCCTCAAACGGCCAAGCACTGCTAGGTCAAATCGTCCGGTTTGCTCACAGCGACGCGGTCCGATCTTCACTTGACCGTTGGGGGTAAGCGCCAGGGTTGGTTGAAGAAAGATTGATGATATCGTGGAACTCACCTTAACTCTCTTATCCTTGCACTATTTTGGCGAGTGGGTCTCATCGATCGTGGTGGCGAGCGTCCGGTCACCCGACGAGAGTGCCTAGTGAAGGGGTACAACGGCTCTATTTCATGGGGCTTCTATTTAAACCCCATGGCGAGCTCAAGCTCACTCTCTTAGCCATTTGCATTGACATTGTCTCCTTGTGAGACTTAGCCAAACCCTCCCACTCATCTCCATCATTGATTTATCATTTTTTGAGATTGGGAGAGAATCCAAG